AACATGGAAATTTCAATTTCAAACACAAGAACTTATAAAATAATTTATGTAGACTGATCTTTATGGACTTTTGTCCAAAATATGAGTTCTCGTGTACTTTATCCATTTATAAACTTAATTATATTTACTATAAATGCCACAAAATACTATGATATTAATGAATATACGCAATAGATGCTTAGCTTACTGGGTACACTGGATACATCTGCAGACCAGGTAGGTGGGTGTTTTCTTGGAATAGTTTTATGTTTGCGTAAAATCAATATTCTATTGCTCCTCGATTTTTAGTTAAACATTATTTAAATGGTTATGATTTGTTATAAGAGAAAAATGTTGTTAAGGAAATCTTTTTTTAATGTACAGTACATGTGACTTTATTTTAAAATGATGAATTTGTGAAACATACAAATGCCATCCAGATTTACATTAAAATATTGTTAAGGAAATGAGGAAATGTGCTAGTCTAAAATCAAGTATAAATTATTCTTTTTTTATTATTTTTATAATTAAATAATTGACTAGTAAATCTTTAATCTTTGTAAAATCAATAAATCATTTATAACTCAACAGCCACTCATATTGTCTTATATAAGAATATAAGATGTACAACCAATAATACTATCCAAAATACAATCTTTTTTGCTTTGTCTATTTCATCAAAGATTAATTCTACTGTATATGTCAAATTAAATTTGTTGTGGTGGATTTTTTGGCTCAAAGCAGCAGTTGTCCAAGAATATTTATTCATGCACATAAAATATTAAACATGTATAATATCCTGCGAAAAAAAATCATCTAACGAAAAATGGTGTAGTAAAATAATAATTTATTTTCAGTTTACATAATTTCATTATTTTAATTCATAAAAATTCTTTTATATATTAATGAAATGAAAGTCTATTATTATACCAATAACGATAATGATAAAGCGGTTAATTTAATTAAAAAAAAATTAATTTCGTAATGTTGCTATGGTTTTACAGTTAACTAAATTTAATCGTAAATAAAATGCTAATAAGCGATTAATTATCAGAATTTAAAGAATTTTATAAAAAAATTTAGATATATGACTTTATATAGAATTGGAGAATCGAAACCGGAATGATAACATAAAGATTTAAATTGACAATGTAACGAATCACGAATATATTACATCATGGGAACCTTATCAAAGATAAATTAAGAATCAACTATCTAACGAGAGTAGCGACAAATGGGACGGAATCTTTTTTTGCCACCCTGCGTAGAATGTAGTATGGTTCCTTCGTTTTGCTACGGAGTAGAAGCAACTAATAACAAAAAAATCTAATATTTTTCCAGTTAATTTGCTGATTTTTAATTAAATTTCTTCGCAGTATAAACAATTGAATGACATAGAACTTCCGTAGTACTGACTTCATATTAGGTATAAAGAGCTGAACGTTCAAGATTGCGATTAAGCTTGTTCCATTGTAAAAATTGTTCTAGTATATTAAAGTATTGATTCTGTTATAATATTTGCAATATTTACCTCACGGGGAACTTTTAGTGATCCCAAATTTTTTAATTTTTATCGAAATAAAAATCTTTATTATAAGAAGGCCAAGGAAGACAGATATTTATTATTGCAATTTTGAGTTGTAATAAAAGTTTCTAATTTTGTAAGTTTTCTAAAGAAATTTTGACAAATCGTATTTTTATTCGCAAAATATATTATTTAAGTAAACTTTGCATTTCTTCACATTTTTTTATCATAATTCTTTTTGATAACATTGAAACAAAGGTGAAAATAATTATTAATATACAGCAACTATAAAATTATTGGTAAAAATGGGGTTTAAACATTTCCATTTTTTTTTATATACAATAAGACATATATATACAGTGCCTGGAAAAAAGTCAGTAAGCACGTGATGTTGATCAATTTTAATGCGAATTTTTAAAATTAAATAATTCATAAATTACTACGCCAAATTTAATATTTTTTTTTTTATTTGAAAGACAAAGCCTTCAACTTTTTATTAATACTTTGTTGGGTAACCTTTACTATTTATAACAGCAGAGATACGACGAGGCATGCTACTAATAAGATTTTGATATTTATCAGCTTCAATATTTGACCATTCCTCTTGAAGTATTTCCCATAAATTCTCCCTGTTTTTTGGTAATGGCTTATGTACCCACACCTGCCTTTCCAATTCATCCCATAAATGCTCTATAGGATTCAAATCTGGGCTCTGCCAAGGAAGGCTGTTTACTTCATTTTCTTCTTCCCAACTCTTAACCACCCTTGCAGTATGTATAGGGGCATTATCATCCTGAAAAATAAAATTTTCCTGATCGTCTAAATTATTAATAAATGGTAATAAATAATTTTCCAGTACATTCATATATACTGTGGCTGTTATTTTACCTTCTAATTTAACTAATGGACCAAGATTGTTTTTTGAAAAACATCCCCAAACAATCACTCCTTGTTGACCTGACTTTACTGTAGGTATTAAACACTCAATATCATATTTTTCATGTGGCCTTCTCCAAACCAATCTCCTACCATTTCCTCTAAATAATTCAAATTTGGATTCGTCGCTTCAAATAACACTGTCCCACTCATTTATCCATAATTTTCGTTCTTTTGCCCAGTTGAGTCTTTTAATTCTATTTGTTTCAGTAACAAGAGGTTTTCTTACTCCTACTCGACTATAAAAACCTTGTTCATGAAGATAATTAAGTAAAGTTTTTTTGCATACATGTGTGGAAGTAGAATCAACGAAATTCTCATGTAACTCCTGAAGGGTCATTTTCCTATCTTTTTTAAGAATTCTTATTAAATGTCGGCCATCCCTTTCTGTCATTTTAGGCGGTCTTCCAGTCCTAGGAGGGAGTGTTTCATCACCACGTATCTTGTAAGTAGAAATAACCTTATGAATGGTACAACTGGGACAATTTAATGCTTCAGCTATCTTTCGTTCACTTACTCCACATTTCCAAGCTCCAATGACTTCTCCACGTTCAAAAATTGTAAGTTCTCTTCGTTTGCAAGACATAGTAGTTAAAGAAGGTTCTAAACAACGCATGGGAAAAAATTGGAGACAAATTTATAATAAAATGATCGACAAAACTGGTTTTAAAATTAAACAAATAAATGATCTACAGTCACGTGCTTACTGACTTATTTCCAGGCACTGTACATTTTAATCATAAAGGAAATTTAATTTAAAAAAAAAAATATTAATCGCTTTATTTGAAATGTACAATTTTCGTTAAAGAATTTATTAAGTATTAAAAAAAGCTTAATATGCTAATTTTTAATTTTATATACTACTGTATATAGCAAAATACGAGTATAAAATATATAACGTTTTGGTTTAATAAAAAAAACTATTAAATCGTACATATCATAAGGATTTATTTACTTTTACGTTGAACGTTTACCTTGACATTCAAATAAAGGTAAAGTAGACCAATTTGGACAATGATGTGAATTATTAATCTAATTAAGAAAGTAAGATGAATTTATTATCAATATTTTTAGTCAAAAATAGACTGAAAACTTGGTTATTTCTCAGATTGGATTCGTCCAAGGATTTCCTTTCCAAAAAAATTGTTATACATTCAGAATCTAATTTATTTTTTTCAATAAAGTATAATTTTGGGAATATGTAATTGATCTTTCCATTTCAAAATATTCTTTATCAAAAAAAGAAATATTGAGAAAACAAAACAAAATAAATTCTTACATCTAAACAAAAATCAACAAATAAAACTTTAAATTTAACGATCAATTTAAAATTAGAAACCTATACTTGAAATTATGCGTAACACTAAAAGAATTTTAAAATGGATTAACGTTAATAATACTAGAAAAAGTTATAAAATAAAAGCTGAATAAAATAAGTAATAAGAAAATGAAGAAAATTCACATAATTTCGAATATCTACTCATGTTAAAATTTTTTTTAAATGATTTAAATAAGCACAATTAAGTTCGTGATGATTAGTAATAGTTGTCGTAAAGTCGTCCAAATGATCGACGATTTATTCCCCAATTTTTATTGGGGACAAAATTTCCTTTTTGGAAATTAGTGTACCATCACGTGACACGACGCTTGACCCAGCATTATGAATTTGGCCGAATTTAAGCATGTGTCGTAATGTACCACCGTAATCCGAAATTAGACTACGACCCAAATTGTAAACTTAATGTCGTAATTGTTATTTACGGCAAGCAACACCATCTTTATTTTCAGTATGCGAAATATATTTTTGCTGAAGTGTTAAATTTAAAATTGTGCAAAAAAATGAATATGTTTACTTATAGTCTCGAAAGAAACCGTAACAATGCAAAATTTGCGTATAAAAACGAAAAAAAAAGCTGACGTAGCGAGCGCAAATTTTTTATTGTCCTTCGCTTCGCTCCGGACAATATATATATATGTCTACGCACTATGAAAAAAATCGATCACGTGAATTTCTCTGTCCGCCTCACCCAATGAAATCGCAAATTTTAGTTTTTCGCTCCAGACTTACAACGGTTCCCGTTTCCTAGTTTAATTGACATTTTCATGTGGTTCTATTATTTTAATTCAACTGATACTATCAAAATTTATTGAAGAAGTTGACTCATTCATATGGGCGGATTTGACTAATCGGAATGTCGATCATCAAGTGAGTCAAATCCGCCCATATGTTTAATAATGCATTAAAAATCCGTTATTTTACAAAGTTTTCTATATTTCTATAATACTAAATAAGTTTTATTACAAAAATGGTAAAAAAAAAGTTTTAATATAAATTATATAAATTGAACTTATTAATTTATTGATTTTCCTGAATACGCTGATTTTTTCAGCCGTAAGTCCTGCATGCTGAAGATCAAAAATATTTCGACATAGAAATGTCCGGTGACACCATTTTATTATAAATAGCACTAAAAAAAAAAAAAAAAAATATTTCGAATTTTTTTCTAATTTTTGAAAAGCGTAAAATTAAATTCCGCAGCAACATTTTGTATACCTAACAATGTCTAATAACACTGAACTTACTAAAAACTCAAATGAGTGTAATTGGATTGAAGATGCAATTTCTAAAAAACTTATTAAGTATTATGAATTTGACCAATTTTGTAATCCGCAAGAAATTGGTTTCGGAGGCCTTGGAAAAGTTTATCGTGCAATTTGGAAGAATTATTACAAACATTGTGCACTAAAATCCTTTTTTATTTTCAATGACGCTACACTTAAAGCAATTGTTCGTGAGGTAATTTTAATATCGAATATATTTCAATTTATATATGTACATTTCTGATATCAACAAACTATTTATTGCTAGATTCAACTTCAGCATGAAGTTGATTTTCATGATAATTTTATCCGTTTTTATGGTGTCACATCCACAACTTCCAGTATAGGTATCAAAAATTCTAGTAATATTTTTTTTTTTATATTAAATATGATTAATTAAATTGTTTTTTTTTAAAAAAAAAAGAAATCCAAAAAAAAGAGTATTTGTTAGTAATGGAATATGCCGACAATGGTACTCTCCGAAAATATTTGAAAGTAAATTTGGAAAAACTCACTTGGAATGATAAATTCAATCTTGCATTCCAACTGGTTTGTGCAGTATCATGTTTGCATAACGAAGGGATCGTGCATCGTGATTTGGTAATTAATTTACATCTTATTATGATTGCGTAATGTATTTTAATGATTAGTTTATCTTATTCTATTTTAATGTAATTAAATAGCACTCTAATAATGTGTTAGTCCATCAGAATACTATTAAATTAGCAGATTTTGGCTTATCAAAAAGAATTGAGGAAACATCCAACTCTCAATCAAAAATATTTGGATTAATTCCTTATATTGATCCAAAAAGTTTTAACAGAAGTACAACAACGCCATATATATTAAATAATAAAAGTGATGTCTATAGCATTGGCGTATTATTATGGGAAATAGCCAGTTGTCAGCCTCCTTTTCATGGTAAATCACATGATTTTAGTTTAATTTCAAGTATTTTACAAGACCTTAGAGAAACACCCACTCATGATACACCTAAAGAATATATAAAAATTTATACTGGTATGTATAAAATTACATTTATATGATTTATAAACCATATAATTTTAATTAATTAAAGATAAATTTTCTGTAGATTGCTGGAATATTGAACCTGATAATCGACCAACTATCAATCAAGTAGTTGATGAATTAAAAGCAATTATAACAAAAAAAAATATAATTATAAAAGATTTTCACTTATATGATAATAACAAGGATATTCAATCATCAAATAGTCAACAGCCAATTTTAGATGTTGAAATTTCTGAAAGTACTAATTCATTACATGGAGAATTATCTCAAGTTATTCAAAATTGTAGTATGATGAATACGAAAGATATAGAAACTTCAATATCATCAAATAACAGTTTTGAAAATAGCTTTAATATAATAGTTAATGATATAATTAATCTTCTTGAGAATGATTGTTATGAAATAGGAAAACAGATAATCCTAAATTACCTTGATAATCATAATATGGACTTACAAAAAATTTATAATTTATTATTAAACAATCAAAATAATTCAAATTATATTGCTTTACTTGGACATTTTAACTATTTAGGAATTGGAATCAGTATTGATAAACAAAAAGCATTTGAACTATATCAAAAAGCAGCAGATTTAAAAAATGCATTTGGAATGAATAATTTAGGAAATTGTTATGAAGAGGGGATTGGAACTAATATTGATAAAAAAATGGCATTTCAAATGACACAAATGTCAGCAGATTTAGGAAATGCAGTTGGAATAAATAATTTAGGATATTATTATGAACATGGAATTGGAACTGATATTGATGAGAAAAAAGCATTTGAATTATATCGAAAGGCAGCAGATTTAGGAAATTCACCTGGAATGAATAATTTAGGAAATTGTTATCAAGATGGAATTGGAATTGATATTGATGAGAAAAAAGCATTTGAATTATATAAAAAGGCAGCAGAATTAGGAAATTCATCAGGAATGAATAATTTAGGAAATTGTTATCAAGATGGAATTGGAATTGATATTGATGAGAAAAAAGCATTTGAATTATATAAAAAGGCAGCAGAATTAGGAAATTCATCAGGAATGAATAATTTAGGATATTGTTATGAACATGGAATTGGAACTGATATTGATGAGAAAAAAGCATTTGAATTATATAAAAAGGCAGTAGATTTAGGAGATGTAGATGGAATAAATAGTTTAGGCGTTTGTTATCAAGATGGAATTGGAATTGATATTGATGAGAAAAAAGCATTTGAATTATATCAAAAGGCAGCAGAATTAGGAAATTCATCTGGAATGGATAATTTAGGATATTGTTATCAATATGGAATTGGAACTGATATCGATGAGAAAAAAGCATTTGAATTATATGAAAAAGCAGCAGAATTAGAAAATTTATCTGGAATGAATAATTTAGGATATTGTTATCAATATGGAATTGGAACTGATATTAATGAGAAAAAAGCATTTGAATTGTATCAAAAAGCAGCAGATTTAGGAAATTCATCTGGAATGGATAATTTAGGAGATTGTTATAAAGATGGAATTGGAACTGATATTGATAAGAAAAAAGCATTTGAATTATATCAAAAGGCAGCAGATTTAGGAAATTCATCTGGAATGGATAATTTAGGAGATTGTTATAAAGATGGAATTGGAACTGATATTGATGAGAAAAAAGCATTTGAATTGTATCAAAAAGCAGCAGATTTAAGAAATAAGACAGCTTAATATAACCTTACTTTTATATATGAGTATGGAGAAGAAACTGATAAAAATATAAATAAAGCAATCTATTAGTACAATAAATTAGCTGAACAAGGAGATCAAGATGCTAAAATAAATTAAAAATCTTAAAAATTGGAATATGAATATTTATACAATACTAAATAATTATTTTAATTTTACTTTTTAAATATTTTTAAATTGCAACTCATAATTTAAAATTTGAAATTTATTTCACAAATTAATAAAAATTTTCATCTATTGGTGATTGCTTACAGTAAACAGATGTCTATTTACTTATATAAGATTCATTATAAATGAGTTAAGTAATAATCAATCTATTATTATATTATTAGGCTAAGTATAGCTAAGACCACTCCAATTTAATAGTTTGTTTAACATACCCCACCCCCCTCATTTTTGAAAAATTTTTAAAAATAAACAAACATATGTTATATCACGTGACTTATAATAACATCACCNAAGTAATATATGTAAACTTATTAATTGCATTATCTGTAATAAATTAAGATGTATTTTTAGTAAAAATGCATTGAGTAATAAAGAAAAAACTATGTTTATTTTTAAATGTTTACTTAATTTGACCCCCTCCCTCCCCTCAATTTTTATATAAAGTTAGGACGTTAAACAAACTATTAAATTGGAGCAGCCTAAGTATAGTGTTATGACTTTTGTATAATAAAGCATATAAGCTTTATATTACTTATTTAATCTTTATAGAATTTTATTGCATATTATATTTGCTTTTTAGATGTTGATGTAATGCATATTTATTATTTATTTGTATTATCTCCTGATCGGCAAATTTTGTATATATTTATTTATCCGTTTTTAGGAAATTTTGTGATATTAACTATTGATTATACTATAAATAGGCTGATTGATAATTTGAGTAATTCGGAAAGATTTGCATTTTCCAAATGAGAAAAACTTTCTTTTAATTTATTTGTAATCTCAATATTATTTTTCAAGTGTAATAGTAATAGTTCTGAAGCTTTTTAAAATCTTTTAAATAAAAAAAAACCAAGTGAAAGAAAAATAAGATTTAACAATAAAATATACTATATTATACTCACAATATACTATAAAACACTTACTATTGTGTAAATGGTAGGGGATAAGTAATACTTATATGGTTTATATCCCTATATTTATTAATTTTGCTATATTATAGTATATATATAGTCCAAGTAATTAATGAATTTAAATTAAAATTTTAGTTTGAAATTGAATCAAATGTAAATAAAAGATAAGTAAATTCTACATTAAATAAATGGGTTTTATCTTATCATTTAAAATATATAACTATGTCAAGTAATATGAACTAAAATAAAATATAAAAGTGTACAGTTCACTATAGGTCTGCAAATAATGGGACCCAAAATCCAAAAACTCTAACCTGGCCGTAGTAACCTGAACCTGAATCTGGATTTGGGCTGGCAAACTTTTTTCAAAATTCATCCAGGCCAGGGCCGGGCCAGCACATGATTTTTCATTAAACCCAGATTTTTGTAATTCTGGCCAAAATTAAGTTGGCAATTTTTTTGTTCTTACAACAAAATGATATAATAAAAGTTCAGGTCAAGTCTAGACCAGGTTTTCAATATATTAAGTCTGGGCCAGGCCAGGCTGGGCACTTTATGTTAATTTCCAAGTGCGGTTGTAAAATAGGTGTCAAATGTCAATGCAGTTTACTAGGACCCGAACATTGAGAGTTGGATGGGCGTTAATGCATCACATGAGTCATCCACATTAGTGTTACAATCCGGGTCAAGGTTATTCTGTCAATCTGACAGATATCTGATTCAAAATTAATTTGGATCATCTGTTAGAATTTCAGTCAGATGACGAATGAATCCAGATAGAAAAAAAGGATCAATCTGAATGATCCGTTATTAATATGGAAATTAGAATTAATGTTACTTTCCAAACTTTGATTTTAAAAGTTTTATCACAAACCTCAAAAAATAAAATATCACATTGTTGTATACAAAAAGGAGAGTTTTCACCACCTAATCTAAACCCTATAAAAAATAAGTGTTCAGAAATTGTCCAGAAATTGTCCGGAAAATGTCCAGAAAATGCCAGGTACCATGTTCGGAAATTGTTCTGAAAACACACTCATTTCTGGACACTCATTTTGTCCAGAATTTGTCCGGAAATTGACCTGAAATATTTTTTCATAAAATTTGGCACAAAAAGATGATCAACAGGTGACCATCATTATAATTGCTTTTAACTTAAAGTTTTATATCATAGATATATAGTATTTTTGCCTGCTTAGCAAATTTAATTAGTATGACAAAGAAGGTTATGAATGTCAGTCTTGTGCTTTTTGCATTTTTTTACAAAATTAATTTATCCTTTTTTGGAAGTAGCATCCAGAATTTGTCCAGAATTTTTTCATGTCCGGAATTTGCCCAGCTCAAATTATCTGAATTTTTACTATGTCCGGAATTTGTAGGTTTATGTTGAAGGCCCCCATAAAAAAGGCATTAATTTTTTTTTTTACATTTCTTTATTAGTAATAATTGTATAATATACAAATATACATATAGGTTTTGTATCTACTTATCTAATCTATAGACTAAATTGTTTCTACGAAGATAATTGATAATTGATAATATCAATTTTATTAAATTTTTATTTAAAATCTGGTTACAATAGAAAAAAAATCGTGATCCGGATAAATATTGGTGGATAATCCGGATGATCCGCAGGTCTGCTACGGACATCCGAATTTACAAAATTAATTATGAATCGGATTAACAGATCACGGATTCATCCGGATCTTAACACTAATCCACATTACCAAATTTGACCAGTACCGATCTTACCATTTTTATTTGTCTATACCGATTAAAGAATGTCGATCAGAATGTTCTATCCACCAAATTTACCGTGAAGAAATTAAAAGCGAAAAAATTAACGATATTGATCAATGATACCAGTGTTGATTACTTTACGTAGATCTTGAGGGGTTTTCTAGAGGACACAATTATAACACACTCATGTAATTTTCTGAATACATCGAATGAAGATGGTCATTATTTGCATAGTATATGTATAGTCACTTATTTCCACTTGAGATTGCTTGTCCGAATTTTGTTATTTAGAATTCTAATACCACTGATAAATGTAAATCAGGTAGATTAGGCGAACAATAAAACAATTAATCCATCAATACATAATTTTATTGTGTTTTGTATATATAAATAAAAAACACTACTGAATTAATTATTAGTATTAATGAAAAATCAACTTTGTTGTCTGTAAAATTATAGAAACAAGAAATATTTATTTAAATTACTTTATTACCAAACAAGAAATTCGCACAAATATCTTCATATGCAAATCTTGTTCAATTAAAAAAAATTTGCTAACAGAATTATTTTAAAACTAATTTATAACTTTAAAGCTAATTGTCTAAATTTCTATAAACTTCTTTTATTTTTTACTTAAATTTAATATCAATTAGATAATAATAATAAAAATATAAAAAACAATTATAATGCCGACGCGCTATACCTAATTTCTTGTCTGACTTACATAAACTATCCTTACTATTTGACCAATTTTTTATAGTATGAAATGATAAGTGCTGATACATACAGAATAACATTATTACAATTTTACTATATTTAAAAAGTTCATTTTTATCGTAATAAAAAATTTCATTTTTACATTTATTTTGATGAAAGTTATTAACATAGTAACATCTTGTAAAAGTTCTTCCACATTTTAAACATTTGTAGGGCTTTTCTCCAGAATGAGTTCTTTTATGTCTTTTAAAAGCCGATGACTAAAATAAAGTATTAATATCAGTTTTATTTGTTTTTGATTGTTAGTAATATAAAATATTAAATATAAAAAATTATGCTTCTTACATCACTAAAAGAACGTGTACAATTAGGAAAATTGCAAATGTAAGGCTTAATATTGTAAAGAATTCTTTGATGAGTTGTTAATTTGGATCTTTCCCTAAACCGCTTCTTACAGTTATCAAATTGGTCGTTCATCAGTATGGATTTTCTTATGTCTGTTAAGTCCAGATTTTTGGGTAAAACTTTTCCCACAAACGCATTTATAAGGTGGTTCTTCGGGATGGATTCTCTTATGTTCTTTAATAAGTTCTTCAAGTTCCCGCAATAGAGTAAAGCTTTCATTGCAAAGATACCAGTCACAGTTATGTTTATGTCTTAAAATATATTTAAGAAACAATTTTTCATTTTTTTCCATTATTTTTATGTGTTGAAATAATATTTTTGAGGCATTATTTATATATCCTTAACAAACATCTGTAGACACAAAATCTTTCAGTAAATTCTTATTTTAACTTATATTTTATAATTTCCTTTTTTTTTTTTTGTTTTAACGAACAAATTGTTTCTATTTCTAATGACACATCTTTTTTTCTTTTGACAACAGTTTAGTTTTCAAGTATTTGGATGGTAAGGTACCATTTAATTATTTATTTTTAATGAAACAATGACGAAGTCACTAATGCTTCTTTCTGTTCTTGTGATTTTTAGACACGTATATTTTGGTAAGAGGGAATTTATTCCTTATAATATAATATTATCTAACGTTTCATTTCTTTCTTTTTTAGATGGCTTGTTCTTTGGGTCTAAACGTGTTGGATTTAAGTAACTTTTTTGTTATTTATTTTAAAGAACAAAACTTTACTAACTGAATGTTTTTGTTTTTTGGGTACAGTATTTGGCGTAAGTATGAGAAATAGTAAGTTTCGCAACTTTAATTGTGAAATTTCATTTTCATTTATTTTTTTTAATAAAAAAAGTTTTTTTAACGTTTTTTATTTTTTTTTAAAGCGCTGAGTTCAAGATAACTAATGAAATCTGAAATTTCGAAGATAATTACCAATTCTTTTTTCTTTTTTTTAAAAAAATAAAATAAGTTAAAAAATCTATACTAGTTAACGAAAAAACTTTTATTTCATAATGTTGCAGAAAAAAAATTTCATG